GGATATAGCTCGCTAGCAGCCTCGTGCCGATGACCTAGTTGATGTCATCGTTTACCCAGAATGCTTTGCGTGTAAATAAAATGGCCCAGTCTGTGTAATATATTTTTAAACTTTTAGTTTAAAAATGATTAAAACTGAACAGCCTACAGTATTTTTACAGTCTTTATTTTACAGTTAAAATATATGTTTCTCAAATAAAGTCTAATGTTACAACTAATTAGGGATCCCTTTAAAAGTTGTATGGAGCATTTTAAAAGGTTATGAGTTATATTAACTGTGACGATTGGGGTGTTCAGCATTAATAATGAACAAGTATGAAAACAAATCTTTTTTTTTCTTGTGCTCTGTTTTTGTCCGGTTGGTTTGTTACCCACATCCGTGCACACAGGTGTTRACCCTACACCCATCGCTCACTGCCAAAATAAAGGAAGAAAAGAACAAAAAACACACTAAAACAATCCTCGGCTCTGTCTAATTTTAGGATCACAATATTTTCCAGTCCCAAACTGCGACATGGTTCATCAACCGTGRCCGCTGCTCTAAGTGGTCGGGTCTGTTTTTGATTCTCTTCCAGAAATGGTTTGAAAGTAAATTGCACATGAGTGTGAACTAATAATACCCTGGAGGGTCAGGGTTGGGCTGCTGAGAGAGCACAAGCTGTGTGAGCAAACCCTCAATTACGTTATCGCASAGAGCAGACCGAGGCATTACTGCCTGCAGCCAAACTGACTCTGTAAACTTTTGTTGTCTTCCTTGAAGTTGTGAGCGGGTGCCACAAATCTTTCTGGTCTTGTTCTCCTGCAGTGGTGAAGCCCAGCGGACATCACCTGAAGCTGGCTTTGAAAATGCACAACTTTGGTAAAGCCATGTTTAAACCAATGAGGTGAGGCAAACACGTCAAATCCTTTGAAATAACTCAGGAACAACTAAACAAATTGGAGTGAAACTCTGAGAAAGCAAAGAAAAAGATGAAAAATAAGGAAAAATTAAAGAAAGAAATCAATTTTAAATCAAGTACATTAACAGTTGGAAAAATTGTCTTATTATTATAGTTGTACCCAGTAAAAGGTCTAAAATGTGAAAACTATGGCTTAATTTGAAACTTTTACAGCCAAGAAGACCTTGAAAGTTATAAAAAAAAATAGTTTTTTTTTTTAACTTTCAGAGTCAAGAGGCCTTGAAAGTGGCTTCATTTTGTATTTAGAGCTGGAGAGATGTGTCAGCAGTCAAAGGTCAACTTTCAAAAGCTTTAAAAGTGAGCAAAAGCACCGTTATATGAATGTTTGAGCCAGCAGGATGCTTTGACGTTTGGGGAAAGTAGACTGATTTTCATATGTAAGGTTAGTGGAAAGTGAAGGTCAAAGGTCAACT